GCATTTTCCAATATGCTCTTTGGGGGTATATGCCCTCAAGAGCATATTCAAAGTGAGGTTCGTACAATGGATCAATATTGAGGCCATGACAAATAATGAGGAAGTTCTTTATGAACTGTTAGAAAATTATTTCCAAAATATAATGGTAAATGAAAAAAAAAGCAAGAAGCAGAATACTGGGTATAGTATGGTACTATTTATGTAATAATATTATGGAAGAAAAGGAGAGAGAGAGGGGAAGAGAGAGAGAGAGAATGAACTTTCTTGTTTGCTGGTAAAAAGGTGGAACATGGAATGGTGACAGGGAATGCCTTACCGGAGGGCGACTGTGTGGTTACGTGGTGTGAGGACAGAGCGAGAGGGAGACTTTTTTACTATAGACACCTTAGTGTCCTTTTAAAAATCATACAGATATATTTTCTATTAAATAAATGAATAAGTTAGTGTAACAGTCTCTGAAGTCCATTCCCTAAACAGAAGGCATACACTGAAATATAAGGAAAAGCTGTTCACTTTAGGAGGGTGGTCTCAGAAATTCAGGCCTCCAGAGATGAAGTCAATTTTACAATAAACTGGGTAAAATATTTAGTATTAGATTTCTTAACACAAGACAGCTCTTAAGAACCAATAAGAAAAGGACATATCACCCAGTTCAAAAGTGATAAAGGACAAATGGGCTTCAGGTATACAGAAGTATGAACGGACTTATACATACTTTTAAGAGACCAGCTTCATTTGCATTTAAAGAAAGGCAAATTAAAACAATGAGCTATTGTTTTCTCACAAGACTGCAGATATAAAAAAAACTTTGGATATCACAGAGTGTCAAAGAGGGCGTGAGGAAAGCACTGTTGGAAGGGGCATAAATTGGATACTCTCTTGGAGCACAAATTAGCTTTTCAATTACCTTGAAAATGAGCACACCTTTGACCCAGCTACTCTGATTTTGAGGATTTATCTTAGATAGATAACCTTTGCATAGGTACAAAGACAAACATACAAAATTATTCATTGCAGCTTTCTTCATAATTACAAAAGATCAAAAGCAACCTAATTATTTCCCAGCTGGGAAAACTGCTACATCTAAACAGAGGAGCATTAGACAGGTGTTGGAAAGAACAATGTGGGTCTGTATTACTGTTATGACAAGACCTTAAATTAGCTCCCTCATTATCTCAAGGGTTTGACCTATGGTTTATGCTCTTTTTGGGGGGAGGGTAACCCTAACACCTCACACACCACCTAAGCACATGGGAGTTGAGAGAGTGAGTTGGAATGGATAGTTTGGAGGGATAGGCTAAGTAATCAGCCATATTGCCTCACAGTTAACATCTCGCCTTCGTGTTGCTAAGCTGCACTGGACTCTAATGTCACTGAGGCCAGCAGGCCTTGCTGGCTGGCTCATGCTTCTAAGAGCCGTGATGGAGTTTCAGATGGTCCCCTGGACTGGTGGGAGATGCCTGAACTGTTGACAGATCCTCCTTTGGAGGATCCCCCAAACCACCCACGCCTATCTCTGAAACTCCTTATACCTGTCAGGTAGTTAAAGTAGGGGTCTGATTCCATCAGGGCCAGCTGGTCTCATCAGTCAGTTTCAGGTTCCAGGAACCTGGCAATAGTTTCAGATTGCCCATAATCCTTTGCAACACTGGTTTTCAAATGGGGGTATGCAATATCCCTATGATACATGAAGACTTTCTAAAGGGTGCTCGTGTATTGATATTTTTAAGGGAATTAATTTCCTGATCCTCAGCTTCCATATGCATTCTACCTGAGAAAGGTCCTGGGCTTAAGGCTCCAAGCTGGCTTTGACTTCATAATTGTAGTTCTGCTAATCTTCATAAGAAAGGCATATCCCACCCTGGCTGGTGTGGCTCAGCCGATTGAGCACCATCCTGCAAACCAAAAGGTCTCTGGTTCCCAGCCCAGGGCGCATGCCTGGGTTGCAGGCCAGGTCCCAAGTTGGGGGCTGAGCAAGAGGCAACCAATTGATGCTTCTTTCCCTTTCTTCCTCCTTTTCCCGCTCTCTAAAAAAAATAAATAAAATCTTTGAGAGAGAGAGAGAGAGAGAGAGAGAAAGATCCCTGGACCTTACTACGGTACGTTGCCTGGGCAATAAAAAATCCTGGAGGTGACAGAGGAGCAATCAAAACTATCAGTTTCAGGGAACTACCCTTTAATGAGGGAGTGGCATCATTTATCAAAATTGTTTTTGGTGGTATGTGAGAAAAAGCAGGAAGACTACTGCTCCAGGACAACACACTTCGGTGGCCTCTGGAGGGTTTTCGAGGACGTCCCGGCCTGGTCCTCTCAACCGCTAGGCCTGTTTCACGGACTAGCCAGGCACACAGCCTCTATGTGACTTCTACGCAGAACTCCTACCTCGGTTCTCCAGTCTCCTTCTTGAAACACACACTTCCCTCGGCTTTGATACTATCACACTCTCCTGATTTTCCTGTTTACCTCGAAGCCCCTCATTCCAGCTTCCCTTTTCTGTTCTTTCTCTTCTAATTGACCTTTTACATTCAGGAGTTTCTCTGGGCAGTTATAAGCCCTCTTCTCTTTCTGATCTTTTCTTACTTAGAGATTTCGCCCGTGACCACAGTTTCAAATACCATCGGCATTCCATCAATTCCCAAACGTCTGTCTCTAGCCTAGACCTTGCTCCTGAGCTCCTAAGTCCAACTGCTCACTTCACATCTATACCTAAATGTCTCACAGGATTTCCAAACTGCAGAAGGCAAAGCCAAGCTCATACTCTTTCTGTTCAGAATCTCATCCTCCTCTAGGCTTTTCCAATTTAGTAACAGTACTCCGTCTGCCCAGTTCGAACCTGAGAGCTTCTTAACCTCCTCCATAGCCAATAAGGCATCCATTCCTAGGAATTTCACTTCATAAAAGAGTTCCCTAATCTTCCAGACTCGGATACATAGTCCTTAATCTATACCCTCATATAGTGCCTTGTACTGCATAATATTTATCCAAATTTTAATTCTGTAATTATTTGTGTAATTCAGCCTCCCCCTCTGCATCATAAGCTCCATGTGCACGAGGGCCATGCCTGTCTTTGTTTCTGGCACATAGTAGGATCTCAGTAATTATTAATTATATTAACAAATGTAAGTACTCTTAGATGGTAGCAACTATTTGTTGCCTAATGCTAAGTACACAGTAGGGGGCAGCAGAGTATAAATAATGGAAAGAGTCCAGGCCTCGATTAAAAGGGTGACCTTGGGTAAATCATTTAACCTTTCTGAGCCTCCGCTTCCATCGCTAGAAATTAGGACTAATTCTCCTTCCTTTGGATCAAAAGAGATAAGAAGACTTATAAGGGTTTTCGTGTTGTACGAACAGAAGAGAGTGTTGTTAGAGTCAGTTATGATAAATATCTGTTGAATAAACGGGGCAGAGGAAGAGGGTCTTGGTCACACTACGGAACAGATGTGAGTAGAGACTGGACTGATTCAGAAGAGAGGAAATGGAAGTTCAAGGAAGAGACTGGCTGAAGTCCAGAGCCAGCCGGAGGCAAAGCTGTGAAGTTAGCGCAGTGTGTTCTTGGCGCGCTCCCATCTCTGCTCTCTGATCGCTGCCCTCCCACCTCTAGCCTCTAGCGCCCCATCTCTGTGCTGGGCTGCAGGCCGTTCCCTTTCCTCCCGTCAGAGCACCTCTGTCCTGTGTCGCGGCCCTCAGAGGCCCGCCACGGCCATCCACAACGACAGCTAGTTAACCCAATAACCGGATCCCTGCTCAAGTGCTAATGGCAGATGGCGTGTTATTTTACCACTCCTAATAATAGGAGTTGGACCTTCTTGAGACAGGAAGAATAACCTACTCAAAAAGCATACATACCAAATGGTGACGTTTTAGGTTCTGGAATGAGAGGAAATGAAATGTGAACAGGGATTCAAGCAGTCCTAATCTTGGGCTCAGAAAAGTTAGTTGTACAAATACAGAATCTAGAGATGTGGCCTGATAGTAATATGAGGAGGAAAACTTAAAAAAAAATTATACATATGTGTTGTATATGTGTATATATAACTTCATTGTAACTTACTTCAGTAAAATTCACTTTTTTTTGGGTATATAGTTCTGTGAGTTTTGACAAATGCACGCTCAGGTAACCATCCCAAACACAACACAAAATTTCCATGTTACCCCTTTGTCATGGAAACCCCTCTCCCCTGAAGCCCTGCAACACTGATGTGCTCTCTATTTCTACAGTCCAACTTACCAGTTTTTCTTTTTATGAATGTTGCTTTAACGTTGCATTTAATGGACTCTGTCTAACCCAAGGGGACCAAGAGCTTTCTCCTTTGCTTTCTTCTCAGCATTTCATAGATTTACATTTAGGTCCATGATCTATTCCAACTAAAGTTTTAAAATAAAAACAATTAAGGTACAGGTCAAGGTTAACATTTTTGCACATGGATGTCCAATTACTCCAGCATCATTTGTTGACAAGGCAACCTTTTCCCATTATCCTTTTGTAAAAAAAATCGATTGACCATATTTGTGTCAGTCTATTTCTGGACTCTCTGCTCTGTTTTATTGATCTGTGCATCTTTCCTGCTGCCAATACTGCACTGTCTTTATTAGTGGAGTGGTCGAGGAACTCTCGAAATCAGCTAGTGAGAGTTCTCCAACAATGTTCTGTTTTTTTCAAAGTTGTTTTAGCTTTCTAGTTCCTTTGCCTTTCTGAATAAATTTTAGGGTCAACTTACTGGTACCTACCAAAAAATCCTGATGGAATTTGTGTTGAATTTTTATGTCAGTTTGGGGAGAAGTGACATCTTAACGGAATTGAGCCTTCCAATCAGTGAGCATGTTTTATCATTCCATTTATTTAGATCCTCTCTGATTTCCTTCATTGGAACTTTATAGTTTTCAACATAAATATCTATCATATATTTTGTTATATTCATCCCTAAGTACTTTATTATTTTGGTACCATGTAAATGATATTGTTTATTTAATTTTGTCTTTCTTTTCTTTTTTTTTCACACTGTACAACCCCCTTCAGTGCTCACAGCCCACACATAAGGAGGCTGGGCAGTGGTTCGAGGCTGCAGTTTACTCTGGTGTGGGCACACAATGAGAGGCCCAGAGGCAATTTTGTTTTTCAATTACTCATTGCCAGTAGACAGAAATATAATTTATTTATTTATTATGTCTTTGTATTCTAGAACTTTGCCAGACTCATTGCTAATTAATCCTACGAGAGGTTTTTGTAGGGTTTTTTTTGGTAGATTTAATAGAATTTTCTACATAGACAATCATGTTGGCTACTAATAGAGAATTTAACTTCTTCCTTTCCATTCCCTATGTCTCTCCTGACCCCCTTGCCTCGTTGCATTAGTTAGAACTTGCTGGATGATATTGGAGTGGCAAGAGTGAACATCCTTGCCATGTTTCCAATCTTAAGGAGAAAACAGGAAGTCTTCCACCGTAAACTATAATACCCTTTCGGTAGACCACCTCTGGAGGGGGAGATTTCCTTCCGTTACTATTTTGTTGAGAGATTTCAGTGTGAATGGATGTTGAATTCTGCTAATGCATTTTCTTTTTCTTTTTTTAAAGTTATTTTTATTTTTTTTAAAGATTGTATTTATTTATTTTTAGAGAGAAGGGAGAGAGAAAGAGAGGGAGAGAAACATCAGGGTGTGGCTGCCTCTCACCGCCCCCTACTGGGGACCTGGCCCACAACCCAGGCATGTGCCCTGACTGGGAATCGAACTGTCAGCCCTTTGATTCGCAGGCCAGCAGTCAATCCACTGAACTACACCAGTCAGGGCTGTTAATGCGTTTTCTTCATCAATTGAGATTATCATGTGTTTTTCCTTCTTTATTTTTTTAACCAGTAGATAAAAACCTTTATGTACCACCATACATATTTGTGATGGTGAGAAAGTAAAAACAAATACAGATGCTAACAACAGAAGAGTGGTTAAGTAGCTATGACACAGCGACATGGTGATATATTATGCAGCCATTAAAATAATCGTTAAAAAATTTGTAATAACACTAACGTTATCACAATGATACACAAATAAAGCAGAATATATACTATGATTCCAATCACTTTAATGATAACTACAGAAAAATTCTAAAAAGAAATATCTCTAAATAGTAATATTTATTGATGAAATTTGGTTTTCCCCCTTTCTACTTTTTTTGTTTTCCTTATTTCCTATAATATTATTTTTTAATAATTAGATGGGGAAAATAAATTTTAAAATATAGACTAACAAATACATTTCTAACTAATATTTGAGTAAACATAGTCTTTCAATGTTATGTTGATATTAATAAAATATCAAGATAAAAAACATTTAAGATGTGCGATATGGACATATATAAAGTAAAAGCCAATGTTTAAAACAGAAGCCTTGTTGTGATTTATCTCCTCATCTCTCGTGGGCCGAGTGCTGACAGAAGACACCCAGTGCGTGGTTTCCATGGTTTCCAATCTTACGGGCGCCCAGGGGCAAATCAACAGCTACTGGACCCTTCAGCCCACATGTAACACAACTTTTGAGAAAACAAAAAGGAGGTGCTCAGATCCGCCCCAGTAAGTGAATTTGTGCCTCCAACCACCTGAAATCTTTGACTCTGGAACTTTTCAATCCAGCCCTGAAGGTGACTAGCTATCCAGCAGGGTCAACTGGAGTCCGAGGGCTTGGCCCTGGCCTGCCCCTCTGCCTGGCAGCCTCTTCCCCTGATTAGCTGCGTGGCTCACTCCTGCAGTGCCTTTGAATCTCAGCTCCAATGTTATCTTCTTGGCTCATGCAATGAAATGTTCTGCAGCAAGAGCGGCTTCGGGTTTGATTAATTAAGCAGCTCGATGACGTCAGTGCCCTGAATGACCTTATCTGCTGTTCTCTTGACTTTCCGTTCATGCTCCCAAGATGTATTTTTATTTCTTTTTTTATCTGTCAATGTAGTAAGTTACCTTCCTTGATTTTTTTAAATGTTGCCCCATTATTTCATTACCTGGAATAAACCCCACCTGGTAGTGACAGATTACTCGTTTCCTATGTTTCTGGATTGCATGTATTAATAGTTTGTTGAAGCTCTCTGGGTCTATGTGCATGCAGAATATTCATCTGTAGTTGCTTTGTAATGTCTCTTTTTTCATTTTGGTGTCAGCATGATGCTGACATTGGCCCTTCCTATTGATTATTCCTGTGAGTGTACAAACATGCTGTATTATCTACCTTCTTAAAAGAAAAACATTCCTCTCAACCCTATAACTCCTTTCAATACTTAATTACATACTTCTCTCGTTATCCTCACTGGAGGACATGCTTATTGATTTTAGAGAGTGGGAAAGGGAGGGAGACAGGGAGGGAGACAGACATCAATGCGGGAGAGAAGCATTGATCGATCAGTTGCCTCTCGTACGTGATCTGACCTGGGACCAAGCCTGCAACCCAGGTATGTGCCCTGACCGGGAACCAAACCTTCAACCTTTCTATTTACGGGATGACATGCCAACCAACCGAGCCACACCAGCCAGGGCTCACAGATTTTTCTTAATACCCTTAATTAACACTGTATTTTATACCCTACTTTTCTGCTCTCCTATAAAACAAGCCGTGCTCCTCAAAAGAGTTACACTCATTGTCTCAAATCAGTTTCCTCCTTTTCTTTCTTAATCCCTCCCCACTGAGGCTTTGTCCCTACCACACCACCCTGAGCGCTCTCACCAAAGTCACTGATGATGTCCATCGAGAATCAAGAGTCCATCCTTTCCTTACTCCACCTACCAGGAGCATCTGTTATGGTTGCTCACTTCCCCTTGGAACTTTCTTTTCACTTGGCTTCTGAGATGCCACTCTGTGTTAGTTTCCTTCGTACCTCACTGTCTACCACTCAGTTTTCTTTGCTGGTTTATCTTTAATCTCTAGTCTTTAGCTGTTGGAGCACCCCAGGGGTTAGACCTCAAACATTTTCCGTATCTACACTAGGTATTAGGTGATCCCATCTAGCGTCACGGATTTACATATTACCTATAGGCTAAGCTCCCGAAGTTTGGTCTGCAGCCTAGACTTCTTCCTAAACCTTAGACTTGTCCCAACTGCCTATCAGCATTTCCACTTGAATGGAAATACAAATAAGTATCAATATAATACTAATAAGTGTCTTATTTTTTGAAAGATTTTATTTATTTATTTTTAGAGAGAGGGGAAGGGAGGGAGAAAGAGAGAGAGAAACATCAATGTGTGGTTGCCTCTCACGTGGCCCCCACTGGGGACCTGGCTCACAACCCAGGCATGTGCCCTGACTGGGAATCAAACTGGTGACCCTTTGGTTTGCAGCCCGTGCTCAATCCACTGAGCTACACCAACCAGGGCGATAAGTGTCTTATTAAGTATCAAATTGAATATGTACAAAACTGATTTCCCACCAAGCTTACTTCTCCTATAGCATCCCCCTTTCAAAAAATGAGAACTTAGCCCTGGCTGCTGTGGCTCAGTGGATTGAATACTGGCCTGCAAACCACGATTTGATTCCCAGTCAGGGCACATGCCTGGGTGCAGGCCTGATCACCATTAGGGGGTGTGTGAGAGGCAACAACACATTGATGTTTCTCTCCCTCTCTCCCTCCCTTCTCCTCTGTCTAAAATAAATAAATAAAATCTTTTAAAAAATTAGAACGTAACTTCCAGTTACTCAGACCAAAAACCATAGTCATTCCTTTTTAATATAAAATTTATGGAAACCTAATGCTGATATGGAAAAATGCACAATTTATAAGTGTATAACTCAGTGGATGTTCACAAAGTGAGGACATTGATATAGTTAGCATCCAGATAGAGACACAAACCATTGCCCCAGAAATCTTTATGTCCTCTTCTAATCACAGCTCCCTGAGGGGAACCAATATCCTCCTTCTTATAACCATAGGTTAGTTCTGTGTGTCTTTGACATTTATATAGATGGAAGCATATACTATATAGTTTAAATTTTTTAAAAATTTATCTTCAGAGAGAGGGGAAGGGAGGGAGAAAGAGAGGGAGAGAAACATCGATGTGCAAGAGATACATCAATCACTTGCCTCTCATATGGCTCCCAACTGGGGAGCTGGCCTGCAACCCAGACATATGCCGTGACTGGGAATCAAACTGGCCACCTTTCGGCTTGCAGGCAGGCACTCAATCCCCTGAGCCACACCAGCCAAGGCATGTAATTTTTTGTCTGGCTTCTTTTGCTCAACGTTATATCTGTGAGATTAATTTATACTAAGGAGTATAATAATTTGGCCATCCTCATTGCTGTATATTCTATTATGTAAATATGGTATCATTTGTTACATCATTCTATTCTTCATGAATGTTTGGGTAGTTTCCATTTTGGGCTATTCCGGAGAATACCGCTATGACCAATCATATATATATATGCTTTTCACTGACCTCATGTAAGCATGTCCATTAGAGTTACACCTAGGAGGCATATATTCAGCTTTAGTGGAACGACCATCTTTCTAAAGCGGTTGTGCCAGTTCCCATTACAAACAGCAGTGCATTGAAGTCCTAGTTGTTTTATATCCTCACCAGTATTGTCTTCCCTCCCACCTTCCTTTCTAGACTTGCGTTTTTCTGTTTAACTATTCTGGTGGGTAAGTAGTAGCATCGTGTTTTGGCTTTAATTTGCATTTCTTAAAGTCATTTATTCATTCTTTTATTTCTCTTATACCCACATCCAATCTGTTAACAAGCTCTGTCTTCATGATATGTCCACTGCCCAGGTACTTTGACCATCCACGCTAACACCCTGGTTTGCCCGACCATCATTTTCCACCCGTATTGTTATAAGAACCTTCTAGAATGAGCGTCCGTGTCCGTGGGGCTCCCTGAATTTGTCATTGCCCCCTAAGCTCTATTTCCCCCATGGTAGCCATAATGACACTCTCCAAACGGAAGTCAGATCATGTCACCCCTCTTCTCAAAAGCCTCTAATGGCTTCCCATCTTACTCAGAATAAACATCGAAGTACAGTCATATGCAGTGTGACGGTGTTTCAGTCAGTGATGGACCATATATACGATGGTGGTCCCAGAGGATTACAATGGAGCTGAAAAATTTCTAATGCCTCGTGACTTCATAGCCACCATAACATGGGAGGAAAAAGCATTA